CAAATATGGATATTTTTCAATGTAACTTCATGGACTGATAAAACAGGAACCAAGGATTACAAAAATGTTAATTTTGTTTCGATACGTTAATTCTACAAGAAGTTATGAGCTTTCGAAATTCGATTTTTGGGTAAAAATTGGTAAAAAAATAGAATGTTTACTTTTCAAAACCTGTCAAATATTCAGATTACATATTTGAGCCTGCTGCATGCATTCATCTGACGTTTTGTATCATTTCCTACATTTCAAGCTTTAAATCATAAAAATCCGTCTATTCTATCCGGAGATATGAGTGTCTAAAAGTTCTACTCCCAAAGGCCTTCATTGGGGAAAACCGTTGCTAGGGCCGTTGCTAAGGAGGCACTTGGCTGCTTTCCCAGCAAAATGGAGTACACACCATATGCAAAACTTGAAGAAAACTTCTATTGGAAGAAATTTATTAATTTAAAGGGCCTTGGAAATCTATATTATGTTTCTATGGTAACCGTTGCTAGGGAAAATATACCTCCCTAGCAACGCAGGAGATAATACTTTAAGATGGTTTCGTAAATGGCAATAGAGGGCGACTTGTGGGAAAATGTCTATTTCCTGACTATTTTGAGTGAAGTACCTTAGTGCATGCATGGAGGAATCTCATTTTATCTCCAGTTTTGTGGCATTTGGTGCTATTTTTAACTAAAAATGTAGATTTTTGGCTCCTGTGACACAACAGTTAAAGAAATTTTGCCGAGATTCGGTGTTAGATATCAATAGTGATAATACATTATTGAAAAGGAGGTGGACAATCTCCTTATACAGGGAAAGGTGTGGGGATGGTTTTAATCAAAATTGTAGTAACTAACTTAGCAACTAAAAAGAAAGACAACGCAATACCAGATAACAAATTTATTCCGCACCAAAAAGAGAGCATACAGGAGTCGATATTGTAGTGCATATTCTTCGTATCACGCGTACACCTGTAAAAATGTACTTACAGGAAATCTCACATTCCAGACTCCCGGAGGTGTTTGGGTTTTTCATCACCTTCCAGTTCACTCCAGTTAATACCTGTCTCTGACCTTTTGATCTCCTGTCATTCTGTCTGTCGATCTTATACAATCCACGTGCTGTCAACTTACACTATACACAACTCCCCGCAACTAGGCGACTAATAACAATGTACTTCCACATCCAGGAGTAACTACATATTCCGTTTGTATCTTATTTCTTAAAGCTCTACTACATTGCTATATTCATAACAGTCTACTACCAACCACCTCGCTTATCTAAAAAGTTAAACCATCAGCTACATTTCATCTTTTTCGTTAAACATACGTTTGTATTTGCATCCCAGGCTAGCAAATCAAATCATTCCTGCCCTTTAATAGGATATATTATTACGTAACTGTTCTCAACATTATAACCAAAGATTATGATGTTTTGCAGGCTATTACTATTTGCATTCCAGGATGAACACCCATTTCTATTTGCTTTCTAGACTATCAATCAAATAATTGATATTGTTATTGTTATCTGTGTTCAACAGTATAACCAAAGATTATGCTACTTTGTAGCCTGTTACTATTTGCATTCAAAGCCAAAAAAGTTTCTATTTGCAATCCAGGCTAGCACCCAAATCATTTCTTCCCTTGAAAAGGAAATATCATTATGTAAATGTCCTCAACATTATAACTTTAGATTATGCTGCTTTGCAGACTGTTCCTCTTTGCATTCCAGGCTAGACATCAATTTCTAATTTCCATTCTAGGCTATATGCGCTAGCAATCAAATCATCCCTTCCCTTTAAGGGCATTGTTATTGTCATTTAACTGTTCTCAACAGTATAACCAAACTAACCAAAGATTATGCTACTTTGTAGCCTGTTGCTATTTGCATTTCAAGCCAAAATGTTTCTATTTGCAATCCAGGCTAGCAATTAAATTATTCCTGCCTTTTATTATCACGCAACTGTTCTCTACATTACAACTGTTCCCCACAAAGATTATGCTGCTTCAGGATTGAGCACAGTTCAACATCACACAAACTAAATGGAAGTATTATCTTCGAGAAAAAATCATAAAAATCTACCTTAGATATGGTCTGAAACAATACACCTTAAACGTACGCCACATTCTGCTATTGTATTAACCCTCCAGACTGGACATCCTGGGATGAGGGACTAAAATAAGATTTCTCTTGTCAATCGAGTCAAATGATGTCAATATTTATTGGCTGGGATCCACCATCTTGGATCGGCAATGTTAGAAACCCCGTTGCCCTGGCAACAGGTAAAATAAGCCGTTCAGAAATGTAAGATGCCGTGGGCCTTACAAGCTACCTCCTCCCTCTGAATAGGGTTAATTCCTATCTACATCCCCGATGTACCTTGCTAGACATCATTGTTAGCGCAAACCTGCAAGCATTTTACTACAAAATTACGTATTGACTATTGTTGTAAACATTCCAAACGTTAGGTTACAAACTTTCACCCTGACTAAGCTCTACAGCTTCTTCAAAGAGCATATTAAGCTTTTAAAACATTGTTATGTAGCTTATGCATTACAGAACTGCAGAATTTACTGTATAAATGAACGTTCTCAGTTTCCAATTGCAGAAAAGGAATATTTGCATCTTGCAGAAACCTGCTGATGTGAACTGAGCAGTTAGATGCTGATGGCGTTGGGAATCTCACGAGGGTTCAGGTAGTCGTACGGATGGGCACGCTCAGTAGAGTTCTTGCGATCGATGTCGTCTGCGATTTTGTCCAATTCATCGTTGAATCTATTCAAGTGGGAAAAAGTCTAAGTATATCTTGTTTCAAAAAGAGAGAAGAAAGGGCAACTAATAGTAGAAGATAGGAAGTTTATAGTATTATTGCAATGTATAGATTCCTAGTACTTTGCATTATTTTTTTTAGAATATAGCGTACCAGTATGCAATACATTGCTAGAATAGGTTTTACATACTGCATGTCCTCTTGTGCATTTAGCCCATCTGGGCAAGAACATGAAATAAAGATTCATATCATATCATTATTCAAACCATAGTAAGACTTAACAGTGATTGCCACGTAGCAATGCTACTGATTTAGTGCAACAACAGCATATGGCAAAAATAGCAGTGGTTACTTGAAATGGGTTTTCTGCCAAGGACAAAAGCTAGTTCCACTTACGTCTCAAAGACTCCTTCAGCCTTTGGCCCTTGGAGGTACTCGACCTCAAAGTCCCCAAGAGGCTGTGTGGAGCGCTCACTCAGGACTCCTGTCAGCAGTTCGGCGTGCACAGTTTGGTACTTCCCAGGCAGTTGGTCTAGGACGTCTTGTTCTGTCAGAGGGTCCTAAAACAGAAGAGTTACCATTGTTATCTTTGCTAAGAACGTTACATTTTGGTACCGTTTTTGCGGGTTTGTTTGTGGATGGACAGCATGCTCACTAAGAAGCGTAAAAAGCTATGGATGGACCTGCGTAATATTTGCTTTGGAATCAAATTACAAGTTCATCCCCACGGCTTTCTAAGCCGACCTAAGGCACTGCAGCAGAAATTCTGCTTTTTATAGCTACTATTATGCACAACCAATTGCCACGACCTCTCAAAGGCCTTCTTGCCTAGTGCTACACGACGGGATACACACCGATTTCCTCTTTTCATATATCAGTCCGTACACAGCACAAATTAAACATATTGTTTTTATATTTCAATCCGTACATAGTACAGATGAAATATACTTTATACTTCTGCAATGATACACATATGTATCTACATTGTATAATTCTAAATAAAGGGTTGCAATGTTTTTAGACTTCACTTTTGGACTTGGGTGATTATAATATCATAATATATTGGATATCATAATGATATTATAACAAGTTCATTTTTGTGTGGAAGTTAACATAACGTTACATCGAGACTGCTGAAAGATTCCACTCTTGAATGGGGGAATTATTTTTAGAATTTAGTTTTGTACTAGGATGTTAATAAAAAGTCGTCTGCCCCATTTTGTGTTTTGAACGGGAGCATAAGACAATATGGGGGTCACTACAAGTATCCATTGGAAAGAGGTGATTATACAGAAAGTCAATACTGTTGGTGAAGATGCTTTCAGACATGGGGCCGATGGAAGAGTCAATTATTGACTGGTGTGAACAATCATTGGGGTCAATATGTGAAAGCTCCATTTCAGACTTGGATGACTTGGCAATAGTTGGCTTTGGACAGAAGCTATTTTTGGAATGTTCTACTTTACCACAAGTGTGAGTTATGGAACAGGGGAGGAAGATGGACTGAAATATGCTTTATTTGCTCCCTAGCAATGTCAACCTTTCTAGTTTTTATTATTGCCATCTCTACGCGCAAATACTGTCAACTTCTATTAGTACACCTTTGAAAACCTCTTCACAAGCTGATATGTAAAGGTAAAGGGGAAGATACATTTATCGTCAAGGAGTTGTATCCAGGACCGTGCTTCATCAATAATCATTTCCTGGCGCGTTTCTGGAAAGACCGAGGTTCTGGATATATATTCTACGCTGATACAAACCCTTGTCCGGGGCAAATATACATTCTTAAATACGGAGACAAGTACCGTGCCTGATCTTAGCCCTAACCCATTTAAGCTACGGTCACAACCCGCCGAACGTGCTTCTGCGTGCTGTCTACGTGCAAAAATGTGGGCAAACGTAGGGCATCCGTACATGGTGAGTACCGCCTCCGTACGGAATCCTACGGATTTGGGAGCACGCAGACACGCCGTAAAACTTTAAGTGCATGTAAAACGTTTTCTACGTGCGGTCTGCGGAATCACCGCCCGTGCGTGCGAGCGGCGCGCGTGCCCCGTACGTGTCGTGCGGAAGAAGCACGTGTGAGTACGGCCTCCTTGCGGTAAAGTTGCAATCGCACAGAGATCGTACGTTGTAAGCACGTACAACTCTCTTACCACTTACGCAACGTACGATGCATGCAACCGCTCACGGCCAGACTTGGCGTGCCGACCACACTCTTACACTTTGCGCAACCGTGCGAGTGACATGCGAGTGACGTGCGTCGACGCCACTCCTTCCCCACGTTTTGAGAAAAACATAGCAGACGTAGCCTCCCAAAAACGTACGGACAAAAAGCACGTACGGCGGGTTGTGACAGAGCTTTAGGCACAGAGCTAGATTGCACGGTTCTGAATACGGTGCCCCTGACTCCCTTTGGACCAGTTAGTCCTCACTCTCAGTGACGTAATTATAACCGGTAACCTATAAGTGGCTTTCGAGAAGACACCTGAGAAAGGAGCATCCTTGTTGATTTAGGCTGGGAGAGACTCTCTGATCGTCGCCATGTTCACTCACTGATCATGATGTACAAAGTAATCCATGGCCATACCCGTCAGTATCTCAGGGACCTGATCTCTCCCGAAGTTTCTTTTTCGACTTCGTATGATCTTCGTAATAAATCTAATTTACGGCTACCGCTTTGTCTTACAACTAGGTATAAAAAGTCTTTCATTCCATATGCTACGCATCACTGGAATGGTCTTGATGTAGCTGTTCGATCTCTGAATCTTTCATTGTATAAGAAGTACTTAGTAAAGTCAGTACGTTCCCCTTTTTACCGACATTTTAGCATCGGCCCCAGGTACACCTGCGCATTACTCACGCGTCTCCGCATCGGGACCTGTAGTCTTAACCACAGCTTATTCTTAAGAAATTTAGCCCCTAGTGCTGCTTGTATCTGCGGGTCTCGTTGTGAGAGTGTCATGCATTTTCTTTTACACTGCCCTTTATATAATCAACAAAGAGTCACCCTACTCAGCAATCTCCAGAATGTGGTAGGCTTTGATTTTGATGTTTTCAATATGTCTGAACAATTGTTATGTGATATTTTACTTAGAGGATTACCTGATTTATACTATGATACAAACTGTAATATCTTGCTAACCACTCAAACTTATATTGTTGACACCAAACGGTTTGTACTCGATTGATTTATTATATAGCCTACTAAACATTTCTTTGTACTATTTAACGACCCATCCCACCCACTTGCTGTTCTCTGTTTTTTGTTATGTATTGTAATTGTATTCTATGTTTGGTGGTGAGGCTAAAATTAGCTAAAGCTAGAGTACCTCACCACCTTGTCTTGTATTGTCCTTGTTGAATTTGCAAATAAAAAAAAAATAAAAAAAAAGGAGCATTCAATTTGCTGAACCTTGTTTTTCGGAGGATCTCCCTCCAGCGCGAGCGGCATGTTGGGTACGAAGGCGTACTGGTCCCACTGCATGAAGTTGACGGCTGCGTGCTGCACACTGGCGGTGAAGATGATGGAGGTCAGGATCTGGATCAGCTGATTCACGTTGGACAAACTTCCGTTTCCAGGAACCCCCTGTGAGTAAGATATGGCGACTATTTACTAGATCAAGATTTCGTATCACCCCTTTCGGTTATCGTAGGAGGCTGAAACCCCACGCACATGATTATGTTATACATGTCTCTATAGATCAAGTTGATTTCTAACAACTTACTAGCTGTCCATCATCCATAAGCTAAGATTAATGAAACTATATTTGAATATTACTAGTTGTTAAAAGTGCCTTTTGTCAAAACTTCCCCGGTGTCGTCAGCTGCGCCCGGTATACGTAACTGATAACAGTTGTTGTCTAACAAAGGACGCCTTCGAATTCGCACGCTTGCGTTCTATGAAAACCTTAGTTTGTATTAGGGTCAGACACTTCTATGTTGAACTCCTCCATGCACACCTGAATGGTAAAACCCGGCGAACTTCGGTATTCACTTTTGCAACAGCCCAAACAATTAGTCGTAACCACCGCCTGCAGCACAGGGGTGTCCATTGGGTCCAAATATTTTATTTCGACACTTGATAAAAAACAATTAGAAAAACTATCGATCCACAACATCAGGACCCCAATAGTTAATAATATACCAAAAACCCAAGAAATCTGTCTAACCCGCAGTGAGTTGCAGCTGCGAACACAAAAACACTAACAGATACAGAACCTTCCGCGGAGGTTATCTTCTTTCCCGGAGGTAAATATCACCAGTCACAACAACGTCGACGTCAGAATAACCTAGGTTATTCAATCACGTACCTTGATTCCACAGTCAACGAGAGCCCTCGCAAAATTCTGAATCTCATTATCCTTCGTCAGTTTGGTTGGGTTTCCTTCCTCTAAAATGAGTAAAAGTATTAGGTAATGTTTATAAATCATTAGTAACACACAGGCACACATGTATGCCTGTATATGTGTGTGTGTGTAGTTTTGGTGCGTAAACACAACATGTTAACACTTAACTGCTAACAGTAACTGCTAGATAATTGTTTATTGTTTATTTATTATTTGCACTTATAAAAAAGTTACATAATCAAACAATAACAATAAGAGAATATGCTGGATAGGCCAGAAACCTAGGTGGTTTTTTAAAGGGCCTACCCCAAACTATGATACATGACAAAACATATTTGAATTAAACATCAAAATTAAACAATGAAATAATTGATTGATTAAAGAAAATCAAGACACAGTAAATAATAACTGAAGTGTGTAAACTAATTTTTACATCTACGAAAAGAAATTAAACAAATGTCTTGTAATTCAGGTCGCTATTGCAGAAATAAACTGATTAGATAATAAACATAAAATAACATAAAAATTAACGATTAAATCAAATGATTGAAAAACAAGGAAAACAAGAATTATGAGAGGCCCATATTTGACCTTGACCTTCGTCTTCCTAAGACTTACCAACATACCAAATATCATCACAATCCATAAAGGCGTTCTGAAGTTATGATGAACACAAAGTTGCGGAAACACACACAGACACACACACAGACACACAGACAGACACGCCAAAAACAATACCTCCATTTTTCATGGAGGTAACAAACAAATCAGATTGTAGTGGTACTGGGATTTTGAAAGAAAAAGTTTCAAAGAAGTTTTTTTAAAAACAGGAATTGACTGGCAGTTTTGTAGCAGTTGGCTTAACTTGTTCCAGATGATGGGGCCTCTATACGCTATTGAGAATTGTTTTTGTGTGGATATAGTCTTGATCGGCCTTAATTGGTAATGTTGTCTCGTATTGTGCTGGTTAATAACCTTGTTACTTACGGAGGTATTGCTTTTTATGTCGTCATCATTGTTGGAAGGATGATGACGAGTAATAATTCTTTCTATAATGTGCCTATGAGTATGTCTTAATCGTCATGCGATACAGTTCTAAGTCTAATACATTTACGTAAGTCTGCAAGTTTTAGCAGAAGTCTTGTGGCGTATGATCAACATGGTGGGAAGAGATGGAATCAGGACATCACGAACAGGACTAATGGGGAGAGTAGAGAGTCATTAATGCAAAAAGACGGTATCGATGGAGGATCCGAGAATTGTGTAGATGAGGTATGAATATGTCTGTAGTGAGACAGTTGACAGTTGAGAAGGAGAGGATCATCAGCAGATATTGTTTACGTAATTCAACACCTAATTTGAATAATCAATGGAAAATTGCTATAATTTCATCATGGTAACTGCTGGGAATTTCATTCGTTGGAAGTGAAGGTGAACATCATTTAACATAATTTATTAAAATCATTACTTCATTTACATGAATTATGAGGAAATGTTAGAATAGGATAAGATAAAATAAGATAAGACTGTCATTGGGTGGAGAATATGATCAACTAAAATGATTCATGCAAATGATGCTCTTATTTGAAGAAAAAATAATGAAAAAATGTATAATTCGTCGACTGAAAGGGTTCACAACATTTGGCGAAGGTATGAGATCGTGGAACACTTGTTTTAATGTTGCGTACTTGTAGTTAACTTCTAGATGTCTTATTTGGAATTGTTAACGACTGAATTGAAGTGAATGTCTAGAAAATTGAATGTTCTTTATCTTAAGTGCGTTAGAGTTATCGCCATTCTAGCCACTTACCATCAGGAGTATAGAAGTATTCCACAACTTTGGTGACATGTTTCTTGATAACCTCATAGATGGGCAAGGCATCGTCACGATAGTAGTACTTGGGCAGATCGTCTGCGTTGTCAACCTAGTATAAACAAGATTGGTGCAGATTTAGATACATGAAAGAAGCCACCAGCAAAGTCATGACTGTCGCGTTCAGCAAAAAACTCAAACCCAAACAAGGAAGACCAAGTTTGGGTCAACGACTGTAAACTTTGTCTCAATCACAACATCAGACTTGAGTCTCACGTACTGAAATATCTCAGAGAATAGCAAGAGACAAAGGAAGATGGATTGAACTGTACAGAAACATACACTGATTTGGTCTATCAATTGTAGTTTAGTGTTTATCCACTGCTAATTTACAATTAACATTTTGAGAGAATGAATATAATAAAATTTACTAACGCCACGGCTTTCCAGGTCTTTAGGCAGAGTGCCATCTGTATCGAGACGCCAAGTTTTCACCCTGTTTCAATAGAAAAAAATAACAGAAAGGAAGTTTATTGCAAATACATGCCCGGCCGAGGGCTACTTGCAAATATAAACATCGTTAACATATGTATGGAAAGGGAGGTACAATGATATGAGAGTCTACGTGACACCACATTCTACACTTCGTCTATAATATGTGGGTTCTCTGATTTTAGTAGTAAAATTGTTTTTTCCTGGTGAGGAATAATGGGAAAGTAATGGTGTAATTTGGACACGACGGTAAATAATCGGTTTCTGATATCATTATAGAGTGAACAATTAGAAATGAAATGATTTTTGTCTTCCACTGCATCTAAGGAACAACATTTACAAATCCTCTACGACACAGGTAGTTTCATACATCACCCCTTTTCGAATTTTAAGGGGTGGACACTGATTCTAATCTTACTGATAGCGGAGCGCTGCTCGAAGTCACAGTGTTCGAGATATTTTTCTATACAATATTCGGTTTTACATTTGCTATAAAATCTCAGCTAACCGGTATCAACAGATAAAGTTTAGAAGAAAGTTTGGATGTACATATCTGAAAGCCTTGTTCTTAATAATTTGCATATGTATTGAGGTTCACAGGTTGTACTATCAATATACAGTAGGTAAAAATATCCACAGTGGTCGAGGATTTCCTTCACTCGCTGTAACAATGTCCGTCCTATGACAGGGAATTACGTTGTAACAGGAGTGCATCAACTTGCAGAGGGTGTGTATCGGTATCAGGTTGTATCAAGTGAGTCGAGAATTTTACAATACGCAGGGATATATCTAAATCCAATGGGAGTCTTCCTAGTTCTGCTCAAGCTGCTACATTACTACAATTTCTATGCACCCCAAGTACATTCTTACAGAAACGGTTATGGGAACTTTCGATTGGTGAGGTCTCATTTACAGGATCTTTTCCCCGGATTTCACACCCATACAAAAGTATTCCTTTAATACAGGTGTCAAATATTCTAAGAAGAGACATTTGAGATTGAACATGGCTTTCTGTGCTTTGAGTGAGAGAAGCTGCCGGATGAGGTAATATTCAGAGCCAAGTAGCAGTAGGAGTGAATTTTTAACTGGTATCTAATCTTTCAATAACAATGGACGTATTGTTAGCTGGAACATGTACATGATTGGCAGCATTAAGCAAATGACAGTGTCGTCTCACCTTTCCCCTATAAGCTTAAAGGTTCCATTGGCTCCAATTTGTGTAACTGTATCAAAAGCGCCGCCTTCGTTGACCAAATAATTCAGGCCCAGACTGGGTAAAGTGCAAAATTAAAATTGTTAGGTTAAATTCCACGTTTTATGACTATTACTTGCAAAGACAATCAGATATGCTAAGCTCTTCTATCTGAGGTTGCAGCAAGGAGGATGTATCGTAACGCTGTATTGTGTGTATTGAGAATCAGCACAGAGGCAATCTACGTGAGCAGTTTAATTTTTGGAAGGAACAATAAATAGCTAGACCTACGATACGAAACAACGTATTCCGTCAGCGACATCGTATTTTTTTATGCCTCACGGATATCTCCATGCTTTGGAATAGGGTTGATTCAACTTAATTCATAATAAAAATGACTTTGAAAATCCAGTTTTACTGCCCTGAAATCGCTTTGGGTGCCACAGAGACACAGCTGTTACAATACTTTTCTCCAAGGGAGTAAAATTCATCAGAAAAGAACAAAGCTGCAGTCACCATAGGATGGAAAAGAACATGTAATCATGTCGATGAAGGTTCGACATCCAGGTAATATCATGCACAATAAAGCAGTTACTTTAGTAATCGATTCGATAGATATCGATTTCGAAAATTGTTACGTTTTAAGTAGCCTCCATGTGATTACCGACGGAAAGGTGACAGTAATATCAGGAATCGTTTTAAGTTCACGAGGACCTAGTTTCTCAGTAGGCGTGGGAATATGATCGCAATATTGTAAGTTCGCGGTTGAAAAAATATAACGCACCATAGTGACATTACTAAATACGAGCGAGTTATTAACATGTTACTGTCTTATGTAGACATTCTGATTTCTCTCCTATACGGCAAAAAACACTGTGGACTCACTGGTTGATGGCGAACAGGAAGATAAAGTGCGGCAGTAGGAGACGGTGCATCGGGTGGGAGATGGACAGGTTCTGCTTGGCTGCCAGGTTGCAGGCCTCCACAAAAAGATGCGTGAAACCTGCAATGGAAGAAACATAGACCTTGTGGCGTAGGACCAAGAGTAGTGTGTATTCTACTGATGATACCCTTCGTACTACAGCATGTAATACCAAGTCAGAAAGGAACAGTGGTAATTACAAGTATTTCCTTTAATTGTGTTTATCCCAGCCTGTAACCCTTTATCTTGGTCATATCTTATCTCCATAGAAGATGTACTACAATCATCTCATTTAGGGATGGTCTCAACGGATTTGAATAGCAAATTAAAGTTCATATTGGCATCCGACAACCAATACACTGTACATATAAGGCAATATCTTCAAGAAGGCCTAGAGGTTAGAAATTCCACCAACAATTGTAAAGACATATTCTGATCCAATTCTACATTGTCTTTTGTAAGGTAGATTGATATGATAGTATGCTTGTTATTTACACGTCAACTTCGGCTTAAGAAAAAAAAAGGTTACTTTAATTAAGCTTACTAGTATAATAATAATAGGTCAATAGCAAAATCGCACAAACAAACCCTATCCCAGCGTTCCGGTTAGGCCACACCAAGTAAATTTTATGGATGACGTCCTTTGGAGACCCTAAATCTAATGCGAGAGGGCGAAAAAAAACAAGAAGGGCCCTAAAAACAAGAGGCCTAGATCAGAAATATACTAAGAGACGAAAAATGTTAGGACACAAATTGAATGAGGTGACACAGTGTAACAAGCAAGAAGTCTTTTATTCATCATCAAAACAGCAATAAATCAGGTGGAACAGCAGTTGTCGTCCTGTCCTGTTTTCGCGTTACGGGTGTCACATCAATCTGACGATTTGTGGCACTGTCGTGACTCTTTGGTCATGGTAGTTCATAGAAGCGGAATTTCTTGTTTTTTTTTCTAGGAACAGGCCAAAATCAATGCGCGCGCGGACGTCATCCATAAAATTTACTTGGTGTGGCCTTACCCCTACCCCAGGACTATGGCTTTGTTCATATGAAACCACCCGAACCGCGATTCGGGTAACTCGCATTTCTTACATCTGGTCCACGTGCCATACATTCTTTTCAAACCGTACCCGATCACGATTCTCTGAAACTGCATTCATTGTTGTTTGATGAAAACATGCAAGGTAGCGTGTTATTGATGTCAGAGGTCAACGACCTGCTTGCTGGTGCCCCCCTCCCAGCGTATCTCGGCCGAATGCCGACGTGGTCCCGCCAGAGGCGGTGAAGCTCGCCCTAGGACGCACACGTTATTTGACCATTACTGCTCTTAAAGTTGCTGCCACGTAAAATTTAGTATTGCATATAAATGAAGAAATATCACCCCGTAATCCATGACCAGGTGAAGTCACATTGAAATCACATTGCGTTCAGACGCAAATCGCGATGCGGGAAAACCGATTCGAAACCACCTCTAGAAGTGATTTGGGATCGAGGTGCTTTCAATGTGATTTGGAGCGTTCAGATGGGGCCACTTGAAACCGGCTTCGGGGGAAACCACATGCAAAGCGCCTTCACTGACTTCATATGAACAGGGCCTAACTCTGTTCACAGTCGGGAAGGTGTGGGGGGGGGGGGTATAACAGATATCACCTGTTTGAAATAGTTCCAAAATCCCAAGTACCTAGACCTACATTCGAGCCTACATGTAAAAACTGTGCCGCTACAATACCTTAAAAAGTCACTAGAATGCCCAAATTCCCACACTACAATCTACCTTCAAAATACTGTAAAGACATTCACAACATCAAAAGTTATCCAGTCAAGTCAAATTCCGTCATGAACATGACCATAGCAGCTCTAAAAAGCAGCTATTTCGCTGAAAACCGCGCCAGATACTAACTGCCCACTCTATGTCCCACTTACAAATCAAGACCACAGCATGTCCACAGCACGAGTTATAATGCCCATTTACCCCGCTGCATCTTACAAAAGCACTGGAGAACCCAAACGTGACCTTGAACTTTCTTTTCCCCATATCATCCTACCTACCAAATATCATCAAGATGCATGCATCAAACCCCAAGTTATAACCGATTACAAAATCAGCACCCTCTTATGTATGGTGTACCTAAACACATAGCCTTCTGAAAAAGGTAATTATATTACAGCACGACTTCCAACAAGTAATAAACTGTACCAAGGTGAGCCACGGCCTCATGATAGTTCGCATCTGCGCAGTTGAACCACATCTTGGCCAGGAGCCACGTGTAGGTTGGGTCACTCGGCAGGAACACCTGCAAATGGATAATTGTGTAATGAAACAGTCATATTTCCAAACCTATAACTCAGAGTAGTTTGCACTCTAGACAGCATTATTGTAGTATGCTATTGTAAGCTATTGTAGTATTTCCTCATGATTTATGCAAATAAATGATTTCAATAAGTTAGGTTTTATAATGTTCACCTTCATTTGACTTCCAAATGCGGTATGATATTTTCAGCAGTTACCACTACGTAATTATAGCATTTGGCATTAGTTATGTACATTAGGTCTTGAATTACATAATAAATATCTGCAAATGTTCCAAAATTTAATCATATCTAAGTTACATCCAAACCTGCCAACCTATCAAGTTTCAAGACAATCCATCCAAAACGTTTTGAGTTCTTGAGTGCTGAACAACATGCATACATACACACATACATACATGCAAACGCTATCAAAACATACAACGTTCTAAGCGAAGGTAATAACACGGACACTCACTGGGTGTTGTTCTCCCTCTTCATTAGGGTACAGTTGGATGGCCACCGGTACGAGGTCCTCATTGTCATTGACGAAGAACAGTCCGAATGGAGCGCACATCTGCCCAGACACATTTAAGAATTCAGTCAACAACTCAGGTGAAATTTCCCTCAGTTATTAAAACTGGCGTTTGAGGGTGACACGAAACGGCGGTACGACAAAGTCACGATGATGCTTGGTAAAGCAAGCACCAATTTTGAACGATAGAATCTACCTTTGGTTAGGGACGTCATCTGAGATGAGCCACACATTGAACAATAGAAACGCACACTTACCGATAAGATTACACATAGTTGTCCATCTTGGTGTTAGTCAATCACCTTACAGTCTCGTCTTACGCAGCTTGTACATAACACACAAAAATGGTGTGCCGCGGCTTAAGTTGCCTTACCTGTTGTTGTGCGAACAAGTGAAGAGCAATCAAACAATCTTGTACTCACCGGCCCGGGCTTCGTGGTGTTGGCCATGTTGGTGATCGCCATGATGGTGTGATCCACGTAGTACAGCCGCTTACCCTGGATGGCATCTTCCAGCCTCAGGTCTTCCAGGAAAGGCTCAACCATTTCAGCCGTCACTCCAAACCTGTGAAAGGTAAGTAAATCGTTCTTAGGTTTATACATAATGTAATTCAATGGTTAACAAACTGATTTACACACATCAATGAGATGTTAAACCTGCTAACGTTTCGGAAATTCTTCTGTATCGTACATGTACGTGTTCTTCATTGTAACAGTACCTGATTCAACTTCCCTTTGCAATGTACATCTAGAACCGTATTCCTTCCACTGTAGCTCCACCTAGCTATCAACTGGAAGTAGCATCAGTCAGTCATAGGAGAAGGGATACCGAAATGTTGGTACATATCTCTTAACTTTGTAACAATATGGTTTGGCCTATAGGTTAGTGCAGGGGGGCAGGAGACTGTACTTACCCCTGGTGTTTCAACCTGGCGATGGCTATGGAAAACATGCTTTCTAAATGTATATTGTGATACGCTGCGACGACTAGTTGTAACATCATTAATGTTCAGTTTCCATCCGATTTTCTGCCTTCTTCCCTCCCAGTTCAACTTACCCCGTTGGAATCTCCGTGCACAGACGACGGATGGATGTAGGGTTGGTGCCTACTAGGCGCTGTCGGCCGAAGGTCTCGTCCGTAAGATATTTGTCCTCATCCCAATCAGTCAGCCCCTATATTTGAAAAAAAAACGTAATGAATGTATGCCAGAATAACAACACATAACGAAGCGCTACGCCAAATTAAAAACAACGAATGGGAAACATGAACAGTCGTCAGACTCACCGCTTATGTATAGTATATCAAGTAACGGCTCGGCACTTATTACCCCATTTGCATGATTTATGAGGAAATGCTAGAATAGCTTTCGTTAATATATCATTGGATTGAAAATATGCTCAAGTGATGAATTATGAATGTATCTTTTTTACATAATAACTTGGAAAAAAATAAACATTTCTTATTCATCGAAACATCATCAAAACATAACAAGGACGGTGTAGCGCTGCACTCAACTTATATCAACAGTGCCACACAACAAAATACAATTAACATATACATACACAAAGTTGACATAACAGTGCGCCGAAGTCTCACACCCCAAGACATCAATACTACTAATGCTAATAAGGTTATTAAAAATATATTGAACAGGAGTGGCTTCTAAGAATTACATATTGACCTCCTATATCTCATTGGCGGAACCATATCCGCCAATCAGAGCTTGAAGAGCTGGAAGAAAAAATTAGGCCTTTTAACACATGTAGTGTTGAGACTTCTATATCTAGTTGACTGTTATGGGACTGTCACAATGCGCGTAAATCGATCGGCCGACTAGTCGGCGAGCTCTAAACGACATTTACGGCCGTAGTACGCCCGATGTTCCGTCGAGCATCGCGCGAATTTTCGGGATCGCCGGCGATTTCTTGGAAGCTCGCTGACACGCGAAACGTTTTCTTAACATCAGCGACTAGTCGCCGGCGATTTTTGAGGTCGCAGAGCTCGTTTCCAGCTCGCGCCCGTGGCTCGTCCCTGTACGGCCGAGAGTCGACCGATATTTGGACGTACATCCCACGAGTCTCGGCCGTTCTTTGCCTTCGAATATCGAGCGATGGTTGCTGAATACGGTCGACCCTCGCGCGAGATTCGCGAAATATTCGAGCAACTCTCTTCCGTACCTCGCCCGACTTGCGCAACATTTTTAAAATCGTGCGTTCTTTGAGCGAGCTTCGTGCCAGTGTCGGACAACGGTTCTACGAGCCTCGGCCGAGCTCCTGTGAAGTCATTAATTATTTAGCACCTGTGACATTTATTATGGGTTCACCACACCACGAAGTGGTGGTGAACCCATATTGCTTTTTCTGATGTTTCTCCTCCTCCTCCTTCTCCTGCCATTTTTTAAATGGATTCATCTTCTTCATTTTAGGGCCCAAGGTCCTGAAATTTGGTATGGAGGTACAATGGGCAAATACCCCTAGGCGTTTTTTAAATTATTGTGATACAGGCTTTTAGAATGGTTTTATTTAAGTTTTTTGGCTGTGTTATAGCAAATGTATTACTGTGTTAGTGTGCCTTGTTTACCACGTTTGGGCATGAGTCATCACAATGGAATGCAGGGCATCAACCAATAGGCATGCAGCTTTCCTCTATACTTCTTGCTGATTGGCTGTTGGGATATAACTTGATTAACACCTGCACAGAGCATTTCCACCTGCACAGAGCATTTCTTGCTGATTGGCTGTTGGGATTTAACTTGATTAACACCTGCACAGAGCATTTCTATACTGACAGTATGTCTGTATTCAAGTGTTTTGGTAGGTATTTCAAGCTTTCCTGCTCCAGCATTGGAATGCGGGGCATGGACGTTTTTTTTTATTTTGAAAATCAACAGTTTGCATTATGCAATTAAAAATCCTAACCAATAAAGTAGGGAATAGCTATCCAACTGTTGTTTTAGTTGTATGTTACTTCATATTATAGTTATATCAATGTAAATCATTGTTTTCCCTTGTGTTTCTCATTCTTTCCCTGCCATGTCGTAAAATGTGGTGAACCCATCGCTGTATTTGCTCCAAAGCAAATATTGGCCTTTCTAGTTTCAGATTGCATTGACAGTATACTGTGCAAAGTTTACAGGAGCAACGTCCCCACTGATTGTTAACGTTATGTTTACGAGAAAGGATAAAAATAGATAAAATCGTCCTTTTTGTACTTTTGTTAAATCAACATTTGTTAATAAATAGAGACACTTTTCAAAATGATAAGGTTTTAACTATATAAAACCAAATGCCTAGATTTTGAACCCAACTGATTGAACGTATATGAAATCCTTTACTCTTGTTCCTTTAGGAGGTGTGTGGCCTTATTTTAGGAGATTGTATTATAAATTGACTTTTACACTTATTTATTCTGGAGTGAGGTTGACTCGTTTCTTAGGGTGCCCACGTACAAGAACGTCATGTGAGACATTTCTTACTAGTTGAAGTTTATATTGCATGGCTCTTTTTACCTCTGTCTACTTTGATGCCAGTTTGAGAACATTATGTTTTATTATCTTTGTTCGGGTACACGTACACGTGTATAAAAAAGATGTTGATAAAATGATAATCATTATGTTGTTGTACGTTTTGGTTGAATGGTCTAGAGATCGTGCGAGCATCGATAGATCGTCGACCGTAACTCGAGCGGCATACGCCCGTGTGTCGAGCGAGCTTCGGCCGACTTCCGTTTGGTTAAAAAGGTGATCTTTATGTTAACCAGACGGTAGTGTAAATTCGTGGCTCTTGAGGTAGTATTTGAGTTAGATCTTTCACAGAATTCCTGTTTATATTTCTATTTCATTCTGCCAGTCCGTTCCATTACTTTGCTAAAAATATTACGACAGGTCAAACATGAAAAATTGGCCAAACTATTCATTTTTAGGTGTATACACTGGCCTTTCTTCATCTCGACTGCTTGCCATGTCATAGGGACTTCATTATCATAGATGTATTCCCAAGCGATCGCCCGAGCCTCGACGATTTTGAAGCCAAAAATAAGCGCGATCATCGGTCAACCTCCAAATCGGCCGATCGATCTTTCGGCGATCGACGAATACGGCCGAAGCTCGTCGACAATGTGACAGAGGCATCAAGATAGTTAAGAAGAGCTAGCAGCGAATTGTATCTCCAATGAAATTTTGAGTGAGTTGCATCGTTTTAAAGTTATACATAGAGGGTAACAATTCTTTTTATAAGAGTGGCGTCTTCAGCAGTACAAACATGCCAGATCACATCTGCATATTCCAAACAGGCACGAATAAATCATTTATAAATAGTTTCTGAAACGTTTCGAGGTAGTTTGAATTTCAAACCAGGAAGTACAGTGACCTGTTTAGAAAATTTAGCAAGCATCTGAATAATATGGTTGTGCCGAGACATAATGGGGATCAAAATAACTCCAATATGTTTATTGTGTGAAACACGATTAATCTTAGACGTCCCAAGATAAAGAGGAGGGTGGTTAGTGGGGGATCGTTTAGTAGAAAATTACATTTATTCAGTTTTAGTTTGATTTAGAATAGACATTTTATGGACCAGGACAGATCGAATTTCAATAAAATCGTAGTTAAACCGCTATGCAGATGCGGTCGGTTCATCATAAACTACGTCAAGCAGGGAACTATCATCCACAAATAAAAAAAGGTTAAGAGTTTAAATCATTAATAATGTCGTATGCTATTGATGAATCTGAAATTGATGAATCTGATGAGAAATTGATGAATCTGATGTAACAATTTATTATCTATGTACATATGTATTCGATACTCAATAAAGAACAGAGATGAAAAAAAAAAAAAATTTGACCTAGTAAAAAAAAAAAAAAAAATAAATAATAATGTCGTATGTGTATGCATGATAAACAGTAATGGGCCTAACACAGAGCCATGGAAAACATCTACACCGATCTTGGACCAGGGAAACATTTACAACTTGTCAGTGGTAAATGTTAGCATCTGACGAAGGTATGTGTCGTGGAACTCTCACTCACACTGCGGGAGATAGCGCTTGCCAGCCGTTGTCAGTCAGTCACGTCTTCGCCTACGGTTAAGTGGTAACGTGATTGGTTGGTAACGTTCCCTCTCAAAACTGACAGCAGGGGGTATCTGATTGGCTGATGGGCTAATTAACGTATCGAGAAGGAACGATCGCAGGCAGGTACGCATACCTTGCTTGATAACACAAGCGGTGGACCAGGCATAGCATCAGATGATGGAATTACGTTTCTCTTACCTTCGGCACTTTGTCCGCTGGAAAGATTTGGCTTATGCTGTCGAAGGATTCCCATGGGCCGTCCTCCTCACCGGCTATCATCTGTTTGATGAACCCCGGCAATCCAAGTGCCATCGCCGACTTTAACATGTCGTGCTGTAAGTATTTGTTTGGAAATAAATGGATTCATGAGTAATCTGCGCGTGAACAATTGGAGGAAAGCCAGTCTAAGTATAAATTGCAAAATTGGCAAATCCTTTGCTGTAGAGGAATCTACTGTATGATATACAGCGTGAAGTGACAAATACCAGTTCCTTTATTGTAAACTTCGCCTCTGCGGGTAGGTCCTTCACCTATGTGGAGAGAGAAGGGTATCAGTAAATCAAATGAAGAAACGAGGAAACCTTACACATAACAAGAAATATAATATCCTCGTAAGGCATCGATGAAAATCATTACATGATACAAAATGTAGTCAAGCCACACAGACTTAATTTTATGGATGACATCCTCTGAAGACCCCCAAACTAGTGCGCGCGGGCGAATAAAAAAATCCGGCCAAAAATAAAAATGCTACTAAACCACAGGAATACAAAGCTGGTATTGTGACTTTGCGGCAGTACTTAGCGATGTATACGACAAGTCGGCACATTCTGGCTTTTTGCGGAATTTATGAATCGGCACTGTACATATGTACTGAGTTGAGTCGCGGAGCTTCGGTAGCCTGGGTGCCCGGCGTCGTATTGTCGCAACTATACCATGGACTACCCAGGCCTAGAGCCAGACCAGAGCCTCATTGGACGTGATCTTTTTTTTATGTCATCCATAAAATTAAATCGGCGTGGCCTAACCTATAGAATTCCTAATCTCCAAGCAGATCCCTTTCTATGGCAAGACAGTATCCATAAGCCAGTGACGACCTTCTCTGGCTAATGGATACTGTCTTGCCACCGAAAGGGATCTGCTTGGAGATTATAAAATTCCATATACCTTTATATATTGTTTTTACGATCTCTAGGGTTGATCATGGTAATAACTTTACTTTTTTTATTTCATTTACTGTTACATAAAGAAGGGTTACACAATGCCATATAGTATGTATTGTAAAGGAATAAGGCATCTGGAAAAGGGCTAGCGCTAACCAGTAAAAAAAACAATAACAGATGAATACATAAGCAAACCGATCAACAATGTACCATTGGCAGAAGGCCTGGCACGGGGGGTTCGGAGGCGTAGCGCTCCCGCATCACATTGAGCTCACGCTCCCTCTGGTCCGGATGCTTGTCATCCTGAGGGAGGACACAACCTCCGGGAACCAGCCACACAGAGGTACCTGCGAGAAATCGAACAGAACTCCGGTTTTAGCAAGGAATGTGGGCCTAGTCTGCTATATGGAAGTCGCCTTTCCTTGTGGTCAAATACAAAGGGGCAGTTCTTCACTCTGCGCATGCACATTACACAACACTGAAGAAACAAGCTGGAGTTCTACAGGGTTATTTCTACTTCTCCGTAATAGCCCTTGACAGCATTATGAGACAAACACTTAAGGACTCAGAATCAGGAAAAAGTACTCGGTTTTGAGTTCGAAAAAAGAAAACAAAATCGTCATCCATCAGTTGTAATTATTGAAGAAGGTCGGCCGCAAGGAGGCAAACATTTGACCTTGACCTTTGTCTACCTATGTAAGAGCTACAAACATACACAATACATAAAGGCCTTCTTAAGTTATGCTGACCACAAGTATGCGGAAACACACACACGCGCGCGCGCACGCACGCACGCACGCACACACACGCACGCACACACACAGAGACAGACAGACACACGCGCACGCACACACACAGACACAGACACACACACACACGCGCACACACACAGAGACAGACACACACGAAGTGGCAGGGGTAGAAGGAGAAACACAAGGAAAAAGGATGTTTTTAATCAATATAAATATGGCATGAAGGGATATATAACTAGAAGCACAATACATACTAGTAGCAACATCCTATACATTATTGGTAAGGATTTGTATTTGCCTAATGCAAACTGTTGATTTTCAAGATTAAAAAAAGTTTACTCCCCACATTGCAAGAAAGAGTGATAATCCTACTAAAGCAATTGAATGTCAGTTGTCAATATGCTATAGCCTGTGCAGGTGTCCAATGAAATGTGTTAATCCAATTACAGCCCGGCACCCAATCAGCAAGAACATTACAACCGCCCAACGATGCTTTTGCTCGGCATTCCTTTCTGATGACTCATTCTGACTATGACTATAACTATACTTCACTATTGATAACAGTCCAAAGTCCCAAATTATACAATTTGAAAGGGGTGCGTGCGAAAAGTTGTAATGAATTGTTGTCGGTAGATACATAAAGCATACCCATACCGAATTTCAGATGATTTGGGTGTAGTACCAGGTCTCCAGGACCCCAAATGTACAGATTTTGTCAGAAAATGGCCAAAAAACAAATGACACAATTTTAAAAGCCTTTATTTTTTAAAAAAATGAAAAAAGTCTGTGTGTATTTGACCACTCTACATGTACTTTCATGCCAAATTTAATGTTATTTTTGCCCAAAAATGAAGAAATTGAATCCATTTAAAGAAATGGCAGGAGGAGAAACTAGAGGGAAATCAATAGACAATACATTTCTCCCATACTATAGCATATGGGCGAAATTGTAATAAAGTTAACTATCGTTAGATTAATTCATTGACAACTTCTCTTTGCTTTTAAGTTATGGTAGAGGTAATGAAGAGACACGTTTTTTGATGGAAGGTTTTTCAGTTGCAATTGGAATATGGATTTTTCTACAGTGCCTGAGTGTATGAAGAAGGGAAATAGGTTCTGTACAAACCTATACAGTTCACTTCTCTCTCTGTTATACTATCTACATTCCTTTGCAAAATGGCATTCGTCCTCTATTCAATTCAAATAAAGTCAAATACATAATCTTTAATTAGGGGTATAATGTTTCTACATTGTGCTTTGTCTCTAACCTGGTTTGATCCAGCGATTCACGGGGAAGTAGTACGTCGGCCCGTTGTTCTTTGGTTCAAACTGGACCGAGAGGGAACTGCAGAACCAACTTTCTTCGGGGTCGCTGCTGTCACTTAGCGATAACTTCATCTCTTCAACTTCTTGGGGCACTAGAACACTTCTAAGCTTATGCCTGTAATGAATTTTGTTTTAATGTAATGAAGTTTGCAAATCATTGGTGTCACAAATAAACAATAAGGATGTCTCCTGTTTAATATAACGTCAAAACAGAAAGGACCACTAGACATATGGACAGATCATATCAAAGACAGATTGTTGACAAGAATTCGTAGGTCTCATACATCCATGAAATATTTAAAGCTTTTGTAAATGCTTTTTTTTTCTCACTGATTATGAAAATAAGGTTGTAGTTAGTATAATCTTTGTCAATTTATAGTTCAACATTTCATCTTTGATCATTCTAATGACGTTCATGATCGCATTTCCTTACTCTTACTCTTATGGATATATTATATATGGAGAAAGTAAATCTCT